GGGAGAGTGGGAAGGGGGAGAGCAGCGGGTGAATATCGCGTCAGGAATTTATCGCTCGCCTGCCTTCCGCTCCCCCGATATTTTCGTCCGTTAATTTAGGTCGTAAAGCGCGCGCTATACAGCGAATCGTGTTACATCGTTCGGGATATCTCGGCTGATACCGGCGGCGAATAATGAGTTTGGTTACGATCGACCTTGCTCGATGAGTCCGGTATCGCGACACCATCGCGGGGCTATCGCCGCGATTTTTGCCGCATTCCACTTCAATCATTCGCCGCGGAGCGATGACGCGACTTCCGCGCTTAATAGCGTTGCGCGGTCTCGCAAATGGGGAGAATTATTTTTAGAGACGTGTCTCTTGACATCTCTCTTCGCCTGAGGATATACGTATGTCGTCCACGAGACAAGGAGAAAGCGCGATATTATCCTTTCTGTGCCTTTGACCATCAAAGAGGTTCGCATGCTTTACTGTGTCGATCGAAACTACTTGAAAAAATTCGTCAAGTTTCAAGCGAAATTTGCAAAAGTAATGATAGGATGTTTTCGCCACACGAAATTACTAAAGCCTCTCCTCGTCATCGTCGGCCATCCGAGCCTCTATTCGTCGGATAACTGGAAGGGGCACGATAAAATTCTCGAAATTCCGAGACGATGCCGACGAGTGTTCGAGATAACATCCCGTTCCTCGTACTTCGCTCGTGCGGGATGGGCGACGCGCGTTAACCTTTGTACGGCGCCATCGTCATCGCGCGCGTGTGGCTCTTCTCCTTTTCCGAATGGTGCATGCAAAACAGTCTGACGGGGCCCGGTCGGCCGACTAATTAACTGCAATAAACGTCCAATGATTTACCGAACATTGTACGCCGCGCGCATGTACTCTGTTCTCGCGTCTTCCGTCTTTCTTTTCTTTCTCTCTCTCTCTCTCTCTCTCTCTCTCTCTCTCTCTCCCTCTTTCTCGCGCCTTCTTCGTTACCGTGCGCGTGCGGATGATATCTCTAAATACTATATGTTCGACGAGTAATGTGTAAAGAACGCGCACACAGGTTATACGATCGAGGAAGACTAATGCTCGAACGCCGTAATTAGCGGCGATTTCTTACGATGTATAAAAACTATTTGTTATTGCTGCAATAAAGATATTAATTATCGCGTCTCCCGGGCGTCTCGGGGAAGCGTCCGCGTCCGCGGAGAAATATGAAGACGTTCCCACGGCGATATCCGACGCAGTTACCTCTCGCGTGGCGGCCGACCGCGCCACTAAAAACATTTTCGTAAGTGCGTCGCGCGAAAAAGGTGACACGCGCGCTTAACGACGTCGCGGCGGATTTTTCGCCGCGGCTACCGGCGTTCAATTCCACTTCTTTCGGCTCCGGTGCCAATAAATACACACGAGCGAGGTGTTTCCTTAACGCACCGGGGACAACATTGAGCGATTCGCCAGTCGAGGGTCAAAGCACGACCTTTCCGCGATCGCCCGGATTTCCCTCTCTGCGGCTCTCCGCGCCGGTCGTCGATCGACCCGCACAAAGGACGCGGCCCGATTTGTATAATTCGAGGATAAAACGGTGATTCGCATCAACGGTTAATAGCCGGCAGGAATGCGAATAGCCTATCGCGGAACGCCCGTCTGGTCTCGGCGCACCGCTCTTTTGTTGATCTCTTTAAGCGAGACCTGATGGCTTTGTGGCTCGGCTGTGTTGCGCGCGACGTGTAATTAACTGCATCCTTGATAGGATCGAATCGGTTACCGGCGCGCTGCCGTGCTCGAAACGAGGGAGAACGAGAGAACGATGGCGGAAGAGGGGAGAAAGGCAGCAAGGGGAGGGCAGGAGGAGATAGCGTACTCGGAGTCAGAGGTGAAAACTAGGCGCCACTTAATATCCTAGATATCCTTGAACCCCGGCGAAAGCGCGGAGGTGGATGGAGACGAGGAAAGGTTGAACCAACATAGACGTCGCCACGTTAACCGCAGAAGGTGAAGACCTTCCGCGCGTCTATCTCTCCTCCTCCTCTCTCTCTCTCTCTCTCTCTCTCTCTCTCTCTCTCTCGTCAGGTTTATCCTACTTGGCTTTAGCCGACCCTTCTGAGGTCACGGTGCTCGTATCGACGGGATTTATCAGGCAGTAATGTTGACTTACGCCGGCCGGGATTTCTCGTCCCTTCCGCGCGCTTCCTCGCGTTCGTCGCGCGCCCAGAAGATCGAAGGTGTTGGTCCTCTGCCTCAAGGATACCTACGCGAACGCGCGGTCTACGAAGAGCCCGCCGAAGGTGGCCTTACCGGGACACTCGCTACCACTTAAAAGTGACATTCGGAAGGCAAACGACGTTTCCTTATTTCGCGATGCTGTCTACAGCCAGGATTGGCGGCCGGCGATTAAAGGAGAGAAACCGCGGGGAGAGAACGAACGGGAGAAGTGATCGCGACGGAGTCTTAAATTTGTGGCGCGGTTAATTGCGCGCCTCGAATGGCCGAGTGACTGAGTTCATGGCAACAAGTGCGCGTTCCGCTTTTATTCGGGATAATTGATTCATCCGCTCGACAGAATCAATGAGAGGATAACGCGGACACATTGTTCAGCTGTCGATTGTTCGGGAGAGAGACGTTATCACGGTCAGGGTTATCGTAGAAATCACGTCGAGTCGCGAAATCCCCAGTGATAAGTTACACGATATGCCGTATCGCACGGGGAAAAAAGGGTTGGCTCGAATTTTGCTCAAAGGAGTCGGACTTTCTGCTTTTTGCGAGTCGCAAATTCGATTCTAAGGGCCAGAAATTCCGTCTCCCTCGGCCAACTGTCGCCTCGCGCGTTGGGCTCGTTCGTTACATCGCGTTAATTCAACCGAACTTTTCCGCCCGTGCGCGCTAAATTAGGTGCAAATTAAGTAGCGTGTCAAACGACGTTACCGCCGGCCGTGAGAAGTGGGCAAGCAGCCGACTTTCGCGACGACAACCGCGCGCACTCGCTTTAGCGGCGATAATCGCGACGATAGCGGCTCGTTAGTCGCGTGCGCGGCGAAGTTAAGCAGTGTCGCCCGCGCGTGGAGCGCGATGTTAATTAAAACGTAAGCAAGCGCGTGCAACGCGAGCCCGATGTACACCGCGCGCACGGAGTGTCGGCTCGCCGTCGGAGCCTTCGTCTCGGCATCGGGTTCCTCCTCCTCCGCTCGCTCGTGCTGCTTGCTGCATAGACTCCGCGCGCGCACAGAGGCCGATTTATGTTGCACCCAACTATATTCATCAACGTTGTCAACTCCTCTGCACCTTCCTTCCTCTGTTCCTCCCTCCGCCTCCTCCGGAGCGCCGTCCTCCGACTGTCGCTCTCTTCAACGGTGTGTGCGCCTAATCTCTCTCTCTTCCTCTCGCTCTCCGTCTATTCTCCACGCCGCCGCCGGCTCCTCACGTTCGTGCTTCGTCACGTACGCTGACGAGATAGATCGTAACTTCGCTGCTCCTTTCGCTCGTCTTTCCTATATATCGCGCGTCCCGATATGCATCCGCGGGATTCATCCTTTCAACGCCGCCTGAGCGCGCCGTGCTGTCGGCCGCCGAGAGAGAGAGAGAGAGAGAGAGAGAGAGAGAGAGAGAGAGAGAGAGAGAGAGAGAGAGAGAGAGAGAGAGAGGAGCGGTCGGGCGAAATTCAATGTGTATAGTCCGGGAAGAGCGAAGTTACGTAATGACTGCGACGCGATATTCGGTCGGAACGTCGTCGTGTAATTTTTGCGAAAGAAAGGACAAGTGAGCGCGCGAGTGAGATCGGCTAGGAGGAATCCGTGGGGACGATCTCTCGTGAACTCGTGAAGCGCTATCCGGTCCGATGCAATCGGATCTCCGGTAATTTACGCTGGTACACGGATACGTTTCGATTATATCATAGGATTTACTACGGTGTTGCGACGATCGGATCGAATGCGGTCGAGGAATGTACACGAAACGTAATTCCTCGCGAGTTCAAGACACGCGAGTACACGCGGCCGCGCGACGGACGTGGGTGTATGGGACACTTCGGCTTCACCGAGGACGTCTTTATTCGCGGAGACATCGAACATAGGTTTCCACGTGTCCTCTGTCTTGTATTGCGCGACACCGCGTATATATTCTGCGAGGGGAAGAGCGCAGAGGGAGGTGTCTCTCTCGCTATACTTAGAGAGGGCTATACTTGGGGGAGGCATTTGAGAAAGGACCTCTCTTCCTGTCCACGCGCGCGAATGTACTTTGCCGTCGCGGTGGGGACGTGGATTTTAATTTCTTTTCGGTAATTTGCGACGATCGACCGACGAAAGTGCCTCGTGGCGCTTTCCGCGCGTCCAACGAGGAACCTGCGGTCTCGCCGCTGAAAGGAGGCACGAGGTAATCTCGGGAGAACGCGCGAACGTAAATGCCGGTGACGTTTCTCTCTCTCTCTCTCTCCTCTCTCTCTCTCTCTCTCCCCGAGAGATCGTCGATTGGTTGTTCCCTTCGCGCTCGGGGCGAACCCATCTCAAACATTCTGACGTGCGGCGTTCCTCGAGCCCGGTGTCCGACGAGGTGCGCCGCGTGGTAACCACGCGGGAGAGGCGCGTTTTGGCAAGTGATTGTGGGTGGTAAGAGCGCGCCACGCGTTGCTCCGCATGCGTGCGTGCCCTCGCGTCCTCTCCCATGCGCATAATGGCCCGACAGCGCGCGTGCATACGTTGCTTCATATTTCCGGTGCCGTTAATTCGGGCCCGCGGACCCGAGAACTCGACGGAGACGACGACGATGACGACGACGACGACGACGACGACGACGACGACGACGACGACGACGACGACGACGATGACGACGTGATGCTGACGCTGCCGCGGCTACAAGCCGTCCTCGAGAAGCGAGATCTCCGCTCGCCTCTCTTTGTTCTCTCCAGCTTGGCAGCGTCTCGGCATCGGGACGGCGAAGCAACGCGTACACGCTCGCGCGTCTCACGCTCGGGACCACCCGGGCGACCGCTTCATTACGTAAATTCGCCACCACGAAGCGTCCTCCCCGTCTTCGCGTGCCCGTTTTGTCCGTGCACGCGCCGTCGTCTCGCCGCCCATTCTCCGTGCGACGTGTGGCAATGGTGCAAAGGTGACTCTGAGGCGAAATACGTGAAAATACGTGACGCCTCCTTCGGAGGAGGAGGAGGAGGAGGAGGAGGAGGACTCGTCGTGTCGATCGAGACCGTCCTCGGTCGGAGACGGTAACGCGCGGAGATGCAGGGACGTGTCCCTGTTTTCGTCCTTGCTTAATGAGGATTCGTACTAAGTAGTCACTCGACTGCGCGGGATGCAGTGTATGGACGTTGCGTTGACGCAAGTCTCAAAGAGAGACAGCACAGTTTGACTTGTTTCCAGTGAATTTTATTCCAAGGATTCGATGTCGAGTTCAGTCTCACCGGAATATATCGTCGATTATCGCGTGTAGATTCTGACCACTTGACCACTGACGAATTTCCGCGATTACGCCGGGAAACATGTCGATCGCATTACGACGCGCGACGCGAACACGAAGTCGTATCTTTCGAATTGGGTGGATTTAAGAGCTCGCGCGCGCTTTACACGATGACAAATTGCGCACTTGGGAAATGGAATGACCGTGAAAACAGGCGCGCACCGAGCGCGCGCCGCTGCGGCCGTCGCCTTCCGTATACGCGACTCTGATTGAGAAACAGTCAGCCGGAGTGTTTGCGCAGTACTTCTACGATATCTTTGGGGTTCCGGGATCCGCGCTGGGAGTACAGCCATACAAACATCGGGTAACCGTTCACCTACCTACGACCGCGTGGTCCATGCATTAAACATTCTCAAACACGGGCGATCTCACGTCTCACGATGCCCACCTTCGCTTCGCTTCGGCCCGCCGCCGCCGCCGCCCCGTGCAGCTCACGTAAGAATGATTCGCGCTCGTGAATTTCGACGAGCGAGCCAAGTAAGCCGTCCTTAGCCGGTCCTGATTAAATGTCGCGCCACGTGGATGTGTCTTCGATGACGTGCCCTCATATCTGCCGAGAGGGAATCGAATTCGCGCGTTGGCGACTTTACACGTGTGGTTTACGAATGTGTCTGATAATTGCGATTTATCGCTGTTCAATGAAATTGACTCGCTACCAAATTCGCGACTCACCGACGAGATAAGCATGTGTGTGGCGGAGGCGATATTTCTTTTGAGAAATACATAGTCATTTTGTTGCTGCTGTAACTTTGCGTCATCGCGCGTAGAATGTGTGTGTGTGTGTGTGTGTGTGTGTGTGTGTGTGTGTGTGTGTGTGGGGATCGTTTTATCGAAGATTCTTCCTCTCGCTCTCGTCCGAATGTGGAGCAACGAAAGAAAGATTGATGCAAAGTGCAAACATGGATAAAAATCGGAGAAAACGAATTTATGGGCGGAAAGAAGGGCAGCCAAAACAGCTTGGAGCGGTAGGAAGGAGGCTTGCCGCTGGGTCAATTCTGATTCTGATGACCGCGTACTTGCTCGAGTAGCTTGATACGTTCTCAGAAATAACGGAGCTCCGTCCAATTTGTCCGAAATTACGTATCGGCTATCGCGCGCTCTCAAGCACGTCGTACGACGTGTCGAGTTCATTCGCGCGATGTCGTGAATAGAGCGACACGTTAAGCGACTTACTCTCAGGCATTTCCCACAAGGAGTGATCCTCGTCATTCTCGGCGTGTATTGTCTCAACACCTGCGGATGTTGCGGCGGTCGTGTGCGTCTCAGTCTGTACGTCCCGGGAACGGTACTCGTCTCGGGGATGTAAGAGTGCTCCGTCACGCTGCTAATTCGTTGCACCGTTTCCGTCGTCGAGTCTACAAAAACACACCGCTGTCGAGCGGAGCAAGTTCGGACATTCGGAGTAAGACACCCGCGCGATCGGTCACAACTTACACCCCACGTCTTCCTCGTCATCTTCGGTGTCCGTTACGGCGTCAACTGGATCGAAAGACGGAAACCGCGGAACCAAGTATTTTAGTCCGTTTGTACGTATACTTTTTTTAACCTGCGTCTCAATCAAATCGCGCGATTACGAGAAGGGGCTGCTTTACTCAGTCAGTAAACTCAATCTGCTTCACATAATTATGCCCACGCGATGAATCCGCGCGTTGGTCCGCGCACAATTGGTCGATCGTACTTACAGTCGATTCGTCGCGGAACAATGGCCACACCTGTGAGATTTCGCCTGCGCGGCATGGGTCTTACGGGGGCGTCTTGCGGACGTCGATAGTCTCCTCGTCGTATCCTTTGTGGCGGCGTCGAGGGAAATTCCGGCGTAGTGTCCGCCGCCTCGTATCGCGTAGACGTGCGCCATTCTTGCGGCATCGATCTGAGATTGATGAGAATGTATGACCGGTCTTTGACAAGTCCGATCAGACTCTCTCGCTCCGTTCGTCAAAATACCGCGTGAGGGGACTCTGAATGATTTCGAGGTTACATACGCTGCGAAATCCGAGGGGGCGGTATGATACTCCTCCGTGACCGGGCCGGTGTCGTTGCAGTTGCACATTACAGTGTTATTGAGTTCGCGATTCATAATCGGACAATCTTATCTCGCAATTTTGAGGGTATCGCCGAAAAAGGATTCGCAGGTCCAAAAAGTATCGGAACGTTTGCAGATTTTACATCATGACGCCTGTATCGATCACTGATTATCGACTGTCTCTTTCATCCTCCTTCGCGGCATGAAGTAATTCGCGTTTATTTAATTTCGCATGAGTTCCTCCCTCCGGTTAAATCGCTCGTGCAATTTTTGTTTAACACGCACGCACGCACACACACTCTCTCTCTCTCTCTCTCTCTCTCTCTCTCTCGATACTTGCGCGCTTTCAGAATGAGCCGGGATGAAAAATCAATCGCTTAACGAGCCTCGAGAGCCCGGCGTGTAGCACCGCGGGTAATGAATGCGCGCGTTCGCGTGTCTCGAAATCTAAACGTCGCGGTGTATTTATTTGTCATCGTCTCGTCGGATGTCAATCGTAACTTGATAAGCATTGAGTCGAAGCAACAGCGCTGTTCTCCTGGACGACGGTGATCGAGTTCGTCGATAAGGCGTCGTTACGCAATCGGCCGGTCCTCACGGCTGGAACACAGCCCGATCGTGATCTCACAGTAAAGTCACATGCACGCACGCACGCACGCACGCACGCACGCACGCACGCAAGCGAGCGCGAGCACGTAGTACGGTGGGCGCGTGCGAAGGACCACACACCGTGCGATATTCAAATGAACACCACTTACGACCGACAATCGCGCTGCCATAAACGTTGTCGTTTCGCGGTTTCACGGGCGCGCGCGTCTCCTTATTCGTCCTTATTCCGGCCGAGGCGTCCGTCACGGTGTGATTTTCACGGTTTATGCAAAACGGTATTATTGGCAGTGTTATCTCGCGTTACAGGCCCTTCGCTCAATTAGCGACGGGCTCGCCTAGGCCCCGGCGGGATTGTAAAAGCGCGCCGCGTTCCATTAACACCTCGCACCGTCGCGGCGGCGCTCCGCGCGCTACGCGATAATAACTGTTCCACGCCTCGTGCAGCGTTATTTGAATTTAAAATCAGCCCCGGAGGAATCACAGCGCCGACGTGTGGGACGGAAGCAAATTTACGTAATGGTAATTGTGATCCCCCGAATTAAACGGCTGAATTAAATGGTTGACAGCTCGTGTGTGTATACCAGCGAGGATCGAAGTGTGTCAGAGTCAGAGTTGGCGCGATAATCGCGAGTCCGGTGTCGCAACGGTTCACAGCTTCGCGTGGATATTCGCGTTCGATCGCGTAATCGCGCGCACGCACGGATCGCCGAAAGAGCCGGTGTGTTGTCTGGCGATCGATTCTTCTCCGAGGTATGACGGAGCTCAAAAACGCGCTCATACGCGACGAAACGGAGCGCGGAAGCTCGCTAAACGGCTGCGCGGAATTCGGATCGACTGACTTGCGACCTTCCATCGCGTCACGATACGAGATAAATGATGAAGTCTTCGTTATCGGGTAAAAAAGTAAGCGCGCGATGCGCAGTGAAATCTATGCATTCGCGGCGGGTAACACGGCAAAATACTCCCGAAAGAAGTCCGCCGTTGATGGACGACTGCTTTTATAAATATCGATGGCCGCGCTCATCCCCGCCTGGCCGGGTCGAACTCTTCCATTTCCCAACGAGCGCGGCGCACGGAAATGTGATTGTCGCACTGATCGCGCTGATACCGATGATAATGATGATGACGATTATTATGATTATGATTACGATCACTATCACTATCATGAAGCGCGGCGACGACGACGACGATGATGATGATGATGATGATGATGATGATGATGATGATGATGAAGCGATGGTTCTCGATATATCGGGTTTTTCGACAGGCATTTCTTCCTACCGGACGGGGTGCGAAACGCCGTGTACGACGACACCTCCGCCGCGCCCGTCTCGAATCTGTAATTCAAATCCGTGAGTCAAATTAATTTAACGCTCGTCATTTTTCACGTTTCGGCGGCGCAGCGCGGCGCGGCGCGGCGCGGCGCGGCGCCGCGCTGCACGCGGAGCCCCGGCAGCTATCTTTCGATATTTCATCCCGGAGAGGGCCGTGCCCACTCCTGCTCTCCCTCTCTTCCCCCTCGTGATAGATGCATTTCTCCGTGATTGTGCTGTCACGCTCTCGAAACGAGAAAGACGCGCCACGAATATTTCAAGTATTATAAATGCGCGGCGATGCGGAGGCGAATGACAGCGAGTCGACGTCGAACGTGCACGAGAAGACGAGTTCGTTTCATTCCTCCCGCTTCGACCCCGCCGCGTTGTAACGCGCCGTAAAGCACGTAAATCTGCACGTATCACAGACGCGCCGAGATATCGCGACGCACATGCGACGATGCAGCCGCAACCTGCAGCGGGCCGCCGGTCGCTTCGAGCGCATCCTTTTAGGCGCGCATGGACGGCTTCGAGACGATACGGCGGCGCGCGGATGTTTACCGCTCGATCTCGTCGGCCGGGGTGCGTTAGCACCCCTCCCGAACGAGACGCTCCTATTTCGAGAGTCATTATGAGGCTACGAGAGGGCTTCGCGTGTTATAATAAATATCTCTCGCCTTATAACACATCGATATTGAACAGTGATGGTGGTGGACGGGCCGGGGGAGCGGAGTCGTGAATGAGTTAGTGCTTATAATCGCGTTAGACTAATCGGTGCTGTAGGGAGTCCGCTTCGGAGTTGAAAGGGACCAAAGGCACTAAAACGGTCCTATTAAGCCCCTATAGACCGTCACAATTAGGCCACCCAATCCCCGCACAATAACGAGCGCGGCTAACTTTCCGGGGAATCAAGCCTCGCGCGCTATCGCGGCCGGACTCGTGAAGGGGATTGTAAGACGATTTCACGCACGTCACCGCCGCTCGCATTTCCTCGAAAACGCATTTCCTCTCGATCTTGTGTTCGGAACCGCGCGCGAACCACGCTCGTCCGTATGAAATGAAGGGAAGAGAGGCACTACTACTTCTCTCTCGGCGATCTTATAATGCGATATAGCGTTCTCGTGCTAGCGCCCCTCAGTGTCAGCGTCAGGTTGCCGTCGAGTTTTTTTTTTTTTCTTGTTCTTCGACGAATCGATATCGCACCTTTTATCGCGCGAGAGCGACGCGGTCGCCGAGTGTTCCCGGAATTTCGCGGAAACGAGAGGAGAGTTGACGCGCGCGAACACCTCGCGCTGTAATTTACCGAGCAGCCGAGAGTGGCACAGTAGGCTTAATCCGTTAATAAGTTCTTTCCCCCCCCCCCTCTCCTCGGGCCGCCGCTCGGCGGTGAAGTAACAGAGACTCCATCTGATGCATGGCTGCGTCCCCGTAAATTTATTATAAGCGCTATACCCGCTCTCCGAATTCGCGAACTTTCGGGGATCTCTTTCTCACGTCTCATTTGTCCTCGCTCCGTTCCCCTCCTGTATCCCCCGTCTCTCCTGTCCCATAGATCACGGGGGGTAGCCGCCAGTAAGTTCACGGTAAAGTTTATAGGAGACAAAAGGGGAAATGTGTTATCCGCTGAAAAATCACCGCGGCCGCGGCCATTATTAATCCGCCACGCCGCGGTGGGTACGTGAGGCGCGCGTGTTGCGGACGTGTTTTCATGACATAATTCGGAATCGATTTAACTTCTTAGCGCCCCTCGTGACGCGTAAAGGACTCGCGGCGTCTCGCGTGCTCGCCCCGCGCTCGCCCGTAACTCAGGACGCGCAACGCGTCCTGGGCTCTTAAGTCTCATTACCATACTCCTTCGTTTGCCGGCGCTCGGGCTCTGCCATACCTATTACATAGCTATTACACCGCCGGTTTGCCCGACCGGTTACCGGCTACCTGAATATTTATTTAGCCGATCACTTTTTTCATCGGCTCCATGGAAATTCGATCGCCGTCGCGCGCGCGCACTAGCTGCCTCGCGAAATTACGGACAACAAATAAAGGACGAAGGGAGAGCGATCGCTTGCCCGCGCTCTGCAAAGGCGGCGCTGTTATTATGCATGCTTCTTATGTTGCGTCGCGCGTACGTTTGAGATGTTAATTATATCATTTAGCCGAGATAAATAATTACTCCCGTATAAATAATTAGGTAGCGAGGGAATGTCCGTGCTCGCCGGTAATAAGTCACCTTGCGAACTGGTTATTATTGAGACAACAGCTGCGTAGGTTCCGTGCGCATTAAACGCGCGCGCGCGCGTCTAAGTGTAAGTTATATTTAGCTGGCTCCGGTGACGTGAAAATTCCGCGCGGATACAGATTGATCGTATCGCGCAATGACGAGTGTCTTTTCTTTCGGTTCGAGAGAAACGAAGAAAGAGAAATAGGTCTGCGAGTCGGAATACACAGCCAGCCGCCGTTGCTCTTGTGGAAAATTATAAATATCTTTGCTCTCTTTCCTTGCAGATTCTTTAAAGTGATGGATGATTTCACGTCAGCGTGCGGTGAAGGTGAGTTTGCATCATGTCACATATTGTATTCGCTGCTGACTCGTTCTTGAAAATTACTCGCGGCTCTCGATAACAAATTTTCCTCGACTGTCCGAGAGTCCAAGTGCAACTCCCTCCCCCCCCTCCCCCCGTTGCATTTACCGGCCCGCCTTGCACTTAACGTGCGCAACGTCTCGCACTGGGCAATCAATAGCAATGGCATCTCGTTGTCGTCGAGACGCTCGACAATCGCAAGACTCAGGTCTGATCGGCGCCAACTAAAATACGTCGTAGGCTTAATACTACTAGGAGATAGCTCTTGAGAAACTGTGCGTCAACGATCGTGCGCAGCAGGAGAAAGGAATAACACGAGACACCACCGAAGGGCCACCGGTCGGGCTTCCGTCGACGAGCGGTTTGTGTGTAGGCAGCCTCGTTCGAACAAGAGAGAGAGAGAGAGAGAGAGAGAGAGAGAGAGAGAGAGACTGCTGATCGCGACTGTACGATATATCCCTCATCCCTCCCTAATTTACTCCCTCGATTACGGCCCGGTCGTGTTGTGTACGTTGCGGGAGCGAATGTAGAATAGCCGGGGTGGTCATTTTACTCGGCAGTCCGCGTCGCGGCCCGGCTTCTGTGCTTCGGACGAGAACGACAACGACGATCGAAAAAACGAATCCGGCCAGAATTCGAGGAGCGAAGGTTCGCCCACGCACGAAGTACACATACACACCGGGGCGCGTTGTTAATTATCTGCCGCCGTTTATCAAGCAGTAGAGAAGAAAGTTCCCTTGAGCGTTTCTCCTTCTCCCTCCTACCCTCCTCGCTTCTCTCCCTCCCTTCGTCCGCGTCTCATCGCGTTCTTTCTTTTTCTCCTCTTCCGCGCGTATAACCTCACGTCCCGCTCTGTCTCTATTCTTCTCTTTTTCATGCCAAACGACCAGTCATATCTGTTAGGTTGCATCGGGGATCGGGACGCCTACAATTTAAGAATCGAGTTTCGATCGCTAGTTTATTTCGAGATACCCTGTGTCCCGCGAGCCTAGGATTTACCGTCCTCATGATTCGATACACACACACACACACACACACACACATACACACACACTCGCTCCTCCTCTTTCTCGAACGATGGCGGATTTCTAAATAATATTCGAAATGTCGAAATTTTTAAATTCACTCGGCAGATGAAACTGTTGTAAACTCGACTCGACGAGATCCGTAACTTGGCGTGGGATCGCCAGAATGTCGAAGGTTCCGCGAAGAACTTTGCAAAATGTGAAACACGTAACTGCGACTCGCAGCTCGCCCGTCGAAATTGCGCGAGCGCGTTTCGTTACGTCACCGCGATTTCTTACAAAGTCTCCTCGGATATGTACGTGGGAACGTCACGGGACTCGCACGAATCAACGAATCAACTCGAGCTCGCGGGAGATAAAACAGCAGCAGCGGCGCTAAGACGAGGAACGAGTCGAGAGATGCATTCCGAGGCAAAGCGAGCCGCATCGTCGCCCATCCATTGAGCCACCACTTAACATTTATCAATACCAGCATCCAAACGCCAAGACGCCATTTGATCGCATAGAAGTGCGCTCACGCGCCGTTCATTCGTCCCGCGTCTCTGCGTTCCTTCTTCATCCTGGATCTTCGCGCTCGACATTACCTAACACCCGCTCCATACTCTCTAGGTGCTCTAGGCACTTCCTTCAACTCCCTAACCTAGCCTAGATGTAATTTTTCTCCCCGCCACGCGGGAAACATTTTTGTTCGGACAGGCATTTAATTATTTTCGAGATCGTGACATTTCGAAAACGCGTATTCTTCCTTTGCTCGCGCAGACTGGATTAATATTCGTTCTTTCTCTCTCTCTCTCTCTCTCTCTCTCTCTCTCTCTCTCTCTCTCTCTCTCTCTCTCTCGCGATGTGTCGCACGAGGTCGTTCCTACGTTCCGTGCTTCCTTCTGGCGACACACCCCGTTCGCACGACCCCGCATGCGATGCGCGTCGCGCTCCGAACTTGGACCGTTCGATTGATTTAAGACGGCAGTAATCGGCGGCCCCGAAAAGCTTCTCGCCGCGGCGGTAACGCGCCGGCGATATTTTCCTGTTTATGTACGCGCACGGCCGGACGTTAACGTTCTTCCCCGTTTCAGCAGCTCCTACATATATCTCCGGCTCGAGCTGCTCCGCGTGCGCTCTCTCTCTCTCTCTCTCTCTCTCTCTCTCTCTCTCGCGCGCGCGCGCGCGCTACTAGAGGAGGCTCGGGCTCTCTCCTCTTCTCGGCGCGAGGCAACCACGATCTCTCCCATCCACCAGGGGCTATTTGAGCCGACGTACCTCTCGCGTACATATATCATATCGCCACATTCACCACGTCGCTTCGGGTCGTACTTCGCGACTACTACGGTAGCAACCGAAAAGCAACCTTCACGTCGCACGAGGAGTGGCACGTAACAATTCCGGGTGCTGCCTCTTGCCTCCTTTGCTCCTCTCGTCGGCGATATCTCTCGGGGGCACGGACGAAAACAATATTTGCATGCGACCGCCCACCCTCTCTCGTCCATCAGCAAGCACGAGCGCCGTTCTCTTCGCCGGCCGGTCTCTTCCCGCGTCATTGTTCGAGCGCGTCAGGAGCTGTAGCTCGTTACGGATAGAAAACTTTCAGCACGGAGGCGCTCTACTTTTTATGCTCGTGGAGCACGTAAGGGGGAACACGTTCGGTGAGAGACGTTCGGACGCGCGCTACTGTGAATTTCGACTCGGTCTTCGCGAACGAGGCCCCGAGGCACGTGCACGGCGGTTTTATCGTGCGCGATAAAAAAAAGACCCTGCCCGAGATCCGTGATGTACGGTAATTATTTTCGAGTTTCGCTTCTTCGCTCCGAAGGTATTCCCCTGCACGTTTTTCCACAGAGAGTTCAATTTGTACTCGTTCACCACAAGTATAGACTCAAGAATTCCCTTGCGAAATCATTGACGATATTTTTATGTCTTAATAGATCGATATTTTTTCCCAAACGTGTGATACATAATTTTTTTCTTCGATATGCTAGGAAAAATTTATAATTACATCAATGCTTCGTCTCTCTGCTTCATTTCTTGATTAATTATCAATTTACAAATCGGATCGATTATAACTTGTTAATTATCAGTTTGGTCAGATTCGACAAACGTGAAAATTATTTGCGTGTTCCGTGCTCTTTTTCGTTACGTAAAGAAATAATCGCGCACTTCTTTGTGTGCTATTGGCTTATTGGTTTGTGATTTGAAGTGACTGTACCTTTGCCAACGATTACAGCGTATCGTGAAGCCGATGTTTCGAATTAATCGCGGACTCGTTCTTAATTGATGATATTGCTGATTGTACAAGGCCGAGTTTTGGCCGACCAGTATTATTATTACCACCGTCATACTTCGAGGCTTCCCGTGTGTTGAGCAATGTTTGATTTCGGTTGCCGAGCAGCAGGGTGTCCCAGGGGGATCTCCGTAATATTCCTCCTGGCCGTTGTAATTCCACACCGGTGTAATGCTGTACGTACACATGACTCAAGTGCCAATTCGTGAATATCGCGTCTTCGAATACCGAGGATCCCCGATAACCGACATTCCACGCGCGGAAGGCTCCTTCGGCTTCCTCCTTCGTTCATTTGCATCAGGATTACGTGTAATTATTCGACAGAAGTTTAAAGCGCGCGATCCCGCCGGGCATGGATTGCGTAATTTTGCATGGCGGTGATTCGCGATTTATGAAAATGTAGGAAAGCGATGGTGTTGCAAAGTTGAAAAGCGACCATGATCAGCGGCAAAAACTTCGCAACACATCTCTCACGCTGATGGGACGATAAATTTCTCACCGATCATTTTTAGAAGATAAATTTTCCTATTGGATACCCCGGAAACGCGTTCTGCAGCTTATCGAGGTAAGGTATTGTCGCCACGTTTCCCTTGACTTACCGCTGACTGGGCAGAAGGTATCAATGTACATCGAAGAAATCGTAAGCCGGTAATCTCTCTCGGGAGATCGGTTTATGTGTTGGCGTAAACGCGGCCGTCGTGCTCCACGGGTGTGCCGGCTACAGATTCACATTAGATGCCGACGTGTTCCGGGAAGATTGCCGGACTCCACTAAGAGATGTAAACTTCTGGCGTATGCAAAGCCGAGAGATGACCTCGTGATACATATACGACGCGCGGGACCCTGCGCATCGTCTCGTGAACGTGAACATACTAAAATGTCGTATTACATTCGCCGTGTCGTTCATCTCCGGTTTATTTGGTGCGGCTATTATTATCCGGTGACGCGCGCCGCGTTATCGCAATCCGGTTAGCGTCATTAATAAGCGTCGGAATGATCAGGAATATATCGCGATGCGAAGAAAAGGTTTCCGATCGTCATTAGAATTATATACATTTTTCCGCAAGTTATTTACGATGCAGCGACCGAGCTAGAGAGAGAGAGAGAGAGAGAGAGAGAGAGAGAGAGAGAGAGAGAGAGAGAGAGAATGTCGTAAAATTCAATTTCCATCGGTTAGCGAGAATGATTGAAATCTCAGCGGCGAAATAAATTCACAGCAGCAGTGTGTCTCGATATCGAAATCTCACGAGCTACTCGGTTTATGCGCGATTCGCCTCGGGGATTCGCGGACTCCGTGTTTTTTTTTCACGTCGTTATTTCCCCATACGTGATAACCCAAGAGAGGAGGGGGGGGGGGAGCAGTCCCTCTCTCGAGGAAATAACTTTTACACTCTCAGGGCCGGTAACGCGTTGCTCATTCGCATACTTTTATCTTAATACTTTTTCAGAGGAGACTATGTTAGAGTTTCGCGAGGGAGAGATAGCTCCGGTCAACAGTTTTATTTTATTAGGCCGTTCGTCATGATTTCCCGGGGAAAATCTTATCGCGTCGCCGGCGCCATGCATTTCGAGTCTCCCGTATATTTGCATTATTGTCCTGGCCGAGTCGTACGGTATATCCCCCCCGTCTACCGTCTACGTGGCGTGCGCGTTGGAGAAGGGAACAATAACTCGCGCGCCGCGTAGTATCGTTCCAAGATACTGATATACTCCCCGCGCGATTAAGCCGCTCGCAGAGGTCAAACGGCGTATCGCATGACCCGCGATGGGCCACTTAATTCACACTGAAAGCCGAGGTAAGGAGGTACGAAGTGCCTCTAAAGTACTCGGTACTTATCCTCCCGCTCGTTCGCGCTCCGTTGAAAACGAGAAGACTCGTTCGCGGGGAAGAGGGAAGGTCGGTCGTGCAGGGAACCGCGGCGGCGAACGAGGAGAACGAGGAGAAGGGGAGGAGGACGAGGAGGAGAAGAGGAAGAAGAAGAAGAAGAAGAAGAAGAAGAAGAAGAAAGAGGAGAGATATAGGCGGCGGTAGACGCGCTTCGATCATTATATACTGGTCAACTACTCTCATTAAGGTTGGCCCTTTACGAAAATGCCGCCGCGACCGGCTGTGGCCGTAGTCACGAGAATCGTCGTGGATTCGTCGCAGCTTTTGCCGGTAATTTGCGATAATATTATAATCAGCCCCTTGCTGGGCCCGAAGAGGTGCCGACCCCACGCCCCGGGCCGAATTGATGACCCGTGGAATCGTACGTCTTGCCGCACGTAGCGCCTGCCCTTATTGGGCACCTTTCGCAAGCTGAGTATCCCTTCGGTGTCTGCGCCGTTGATGTCCCGAAAGCGCTTTCGAGATACCGATCGCGCGCGAGTCCCGCCGACTGGATTCTCATCCGCGTCGCCGCATAATTACTTTATCGGTCACGTTACTCCATTACTTACGAAAGCCCCTTAAAGAAGCGCAGGTATGCGCGTACATGGCGCGGAAACTGCGCCAGGCGCGGCGGCGGATACCCGAATTTACAGAGCCGCGGGACTTTTTACTTCGCGATATTAAAGCGTAATTAAAGCGCCCAATGTGTGCGCCCAAGCCAAGATCGAAGCATCGGACCAAAAGACGCGCGAATTTTCTGTTGCAGGTGAACTGATCGGCGTCCACTGCACACATGGTGTTAATCGCACCGGTTATTTGATTTGCAGGTTAGTCCACCGTGTACCAGGTCGCCTCTCGCAGAGGCAGATTCTTCCTCCGTCTCTTGCGAGAAACTTTGTTGCCGTTGAAAATAATCGCATAATAAGATGATCGCAATTGTCGTCACATGTTTCCACAATTACTTTTCAATTGTTTCAACGATCGGTGTTATACTCTGGTTCTCTGGTAGATCCAATCGGCTTTTGGAGTTAAAATCTTTTTTATCAAGCATATTTTCTGTGTGTGTGTGTGTCGACGACTTTCTATTGTCAGAATTGCGCACTCTGTAAGAAATTATGGAGATTCCGTCGAGTAGAACGACTAAGACAACTTTGTTGCAGGTATCTTATTCAGCAACTCGGTTGGGAGGCTCAAGATTCCCTGAAAGGTAGGTCCTTTCGAGAAATGGCACTTTACGACATACTACGACGTGCGATTCTTTCGTTCTTGTGAGATTTAACGAGGACGCAATGTTGGTCTTTCCGAATTTTTCTCGACCACACAGTCAATTGAATATGTTGACAATCATCACTAGTAGCCGAAAATTTCGCTATTCGCGGATTCCAAGCAGATCTCTCTTTCTTTGCGTACTTTTTTTCAAGGAAATATTACGTAGCAGCGATCGCTGTGCGATCGCACGTAGGTCCCCCTTCCCTTTATCAGGTAAATATAACCGTCAAGCAATTTGCGCATTATCGCGCATTATCGCGAAAATCAAATCTCTATGTATCTTATCCGACGCAACTCGTCCCTTTATAATCGTTTTCTTTATCACACGTATTACATGCTACACTCGAAGGTATTAATGAAAGATACGGCGAACGTTAAAATAGGTTAGTTGACAGTGAGACAGCCAGCCAGTGAGTCTATTACTACATTTTTATCGTCACCAGCGAACCTATTGTCCATGCGGCTTCTTCCGCTGTTTGTGTTCAGCTTTCGGGGAAGCGCGCGGTTATCCAGTCGAACGCGATATTTACCTCACCGCGTTGAAGGAAGTCCAACGTGGCGAGAAGATCGACACGAGTAAGGTCGCGCTGACGCCGACGAGTATCATCGAGACCCCCAGCACAATGAGGAAGACGTTGAAGTCACGCTCGGCGCTGAGCCTGCCGATGGGCCGTATGGGACCGCCAGGTTACGCGATGTCGCGCCGGAGTTCCGCAAACGGCGCACCATACCCGCTCCAGAGATACGGCTACCACATGGGCCCACCGCCAGGATTCAGGCCTATGCCACCTCCTCCGTCAGGCTTGCCACCCATACCGCCGCCCATGGGCCCACCGCTCTATGGACCCAGGCCGCTTAGGTAATTACAGCAGTAATTACGATTGTAGCGCTTAACTTTTTCTCATAATAAACGAACATAATTCTAAGCTAAAGACGAGCGCATCATGTTCGCGGGGTATTCTGTTATGACGTAATTATCGACAACACATCGGCGTGCACCGGCGAGAGACATAAAGCGAGTCAAGTCGAGTCAATTAGCTTACCGCCGGCGAAGAATGCGCGATCAAGTGGACACGTGATGACGGATCGTGTGTCGGATTCCTCAGATACGGAATGCCGATGCGACCGACGCCACCCGGGCCGCCGGGGTTTCCGCTTCCTAGTTTTCCGCTGCGTATGCCAGGACCATCGAGGATGTCGGGCCCACCGAGATTACCACCGGCTGGTTCCTCCTCGCGGCTACCACCCCCTAAGATGCCCCCACCGCCGCCGCCACCGCCGCTGTCGAGAACGGCCGTGAGCAAGCTGCAGGCGCAGAAGAAGAAGCAGCAGATCAAAAACGGCATCATGGAGCGCACGATTCGCATGAGGCGGAACAACGCGGCCAGTAGCAGAGGCATGCCTAAGAGATACAAGGAACAGGACTTCACCGTGGACACGTTCGAGGAGAATCTACTGACTGTTTCGAACACCAGCCGACGGCTGTCGAGAGGACGCTACAGTCAGGCCAAGTGACGACGTACTCGTTAGGTGCGCGATATATTTACTTTAAGCGTTACTTTAAGCGACACTCGGTATATATTCGGCGTGTTGCCGAATTTGGTTCTCGCGATTTCACGAGCGCACCCACGCGCCCGCACACCCCCGTTGTCGTTGTCGTTCGTGACGGACAATGACGGTCGTACCCGTCTGGACGGCTGCCGACGATCTTTTCATTTCTTTTCGGACAGCGAACTCAAATACATAGCCCCGATTTGTAAGACGTGATCTGTTGTAACAGCGTCGTATCTATTTCGCTATCGATAATTAAGCTCTTCCCCAGGATAAAGTCCCTTTATCCTAGATAAAGATATCTCGCACGACTGGTCGAAGCTACATTGCTCACTCCTCCCATGAGTGAGCGCAGTTTGTTGGGTACCTCGCACGACCACCACCATGTCTGTTGTAACCTCTTTTTTGATTTCTTTTGTATCATATACCTGTGTACACATGCGTGCGCGCATGACGAAATGTACATGTCATCATCTTATGCTTATCAAAGTCCTTCGTCATTTTAGAAGTGCAGAATTTCTTTCGGTCGGTCGTAGCACACACGAGAACGATCCGAGCAGATATCCGTTCGGAGGCATCGTACGACAAAAACTTCATTTGGACGTTCATCAAGTACAATGGAAATACAAACAATACGCGTATGATGTATTGTTTTATGCCATATCTACAGAGATTAAGCGTAAGCGCGTATCTTTAACATGGCTTCTTTGTACCAGAGAGCGTTCGCTCCAGATTGAGGACCTTTCATTTGAGAAATTAATACCCACTTTTCAGTTTATACTGTACAAACTACAAATTACCGCCCGTAAGTATCATATTTAAGTCGATTTAATGACTCTCTTGGCAAATCAAAAAGTACCCTGGAAGCGAATAGGACAGTAATTCTGTATACAATTTTAAATAAAAACATATGTATTTAACTATGTAAGATATCGCGTCATGTGACAACTCAATTGTCAGGACATTTTTATCATGACATCTTGCAACAATCCCGCAGCCACCTCCTCCACGAATTCGCCGGTCCGACAGACGCAGAAGCGATCGAAACGAATGTCTCCAGGGTGTGGCGCGATTGAATAGACCGGCAATTACTAACTGTCGCATTTCAGGTCGATAGTAAGCCAGGATTCCCCGCCGATATCCGGAAGCGTATCAGGCGCGGGATTCTGAACTCACCCTGTTTTTCACACGATATAATCTCACTCTTCCTTTCCAAGCTCCCCCCTATATTTTCGCTCCGTCGAGATCCATCGCCTCGTCGGCTTTAATATCACACCCGGTACAATAAATTTTTCCGATCCCTGTAGATCGATTCTCGGAGGAAATTGCTTTCTGATTACTAACGCGAGTGGCCGATGAATATTTTACGACGTTGCTCAGCTGAAGTAGCCGGCTGGAGTTGACACCATGTGGAGGAGAGTAGTCGTGGTAATCGTGAGCAGAGAAGTTGCCCATGATTTTTTCCGCACGTTTCGGAGTGCGGTCCGTTGGCGGTCCGATGGCGGACAATTTGTTCGCTAATCGCAAGATTCTTCCGTTGAAACGGAAAAGGAAATACACACGCGTTCTGAAAGCCACACGAGAAATTACAGGCAACCTTTCTGTTCGCGAGGCAGATATGTACAGCGTGTGGCATGACAAAAACATAATTGAACGCGAGCTCGGAAGATGGGAGCGGGCCGCGACATCAGTCGTGTGTCTCTCGTTCTAAGATATTAAAGTGATTCAATATTCGGCCCGGGGTCGAGGGTCACGCGTGTAGGTGGCACACGTCTCTCGCGCGCCTGACCGTATATCACGGATTGCCGTTGGCGTACGTGGAATAATTCCACGAGAAATTGCGCGCGTCACACGCGCGAGTAACGCCTCGAGTCACTCGGGGACTTTACCCGGCGGCCTTAAAAGTGAGACCCGCGGTGATAGGAAGGGCATAAATTAAGTGCGCTCGCGCGCGTGTTTTACGGCGCGCCGCTTCCCTCACTCGGTGGCTGCGCGCGCGCGCGGTTACTCCACATGTAATAATGACGCGCGACGTGTCGCGAAAAATCGATGTCGCCATGTCGCGACGTTGTGTTCCAATTGATCGTTATCTCATCAGAAAACGAAATGTCTCGAAATGTGTATTATCAGGACGTGAAAGGACGTGTGATGAGTCGTCGATATGGTGTCTAAATGGCATGCTGATTTGGTAAATTCATCTTCGAAATTTTTAACATATTCGCGCAGGGTATCTTGATCTCAGAAGCGGAAGATAATACAGATTCGAGCTTATTGAAATATTGCGAAGCTGTGCACCGATTGAGACCGATCCGTCTCAAGCGGTAACTGCTTCGTCCTCGTTGAAATTGTACTTTTCCCCTCTCAGCCTGTTTATTCGCGCTAAGAGTGTAATGGGAAAGATACAGCTCTCGTGAATTATCTGCTTTCATCATAGTCAAATCGATACCCCGGTCTGAGTTATGTCCGTAGACGTGGCTCAGGCACACTTTGGACGTAAATGTCGGGGAAGTAACAAGGAGAGAGAGAGAGAGAGAGAGAGAGGAGGGGAGAGGGAGAGGGAGAGAGAGAGAGAGAGAAAGAGAGAAATGATGACGATGACGACGACGACGAAAAGAGGTCGTCGTGGATAGAAGGAATTTGAAAACTTTCCCAGAGGTGGAAAGATCGTCGCCCTTCTCGCCACGGTCCCGGTTCACGGAGACAATCCGAAAGTAACTTCTGGTACGGGCTACTGGCGCCACGGGAAACAATCGTCCAGCGCGATCGCTCGGCGCGGTCGCGCTCCCTGGACAACTGTTTCCCCGGGCGCGGTATCTATCTCAGTTAGACATTAGATTTATCGACATATTTTCTCAGTCTTTTGAGAGAGACTTTATTTACTTTTGTACAACGTCGTCTACCTCGCCCTCGTCTCGCGCACCATTCGCGCGCGACTAGCACTCGCCTTGTTTCGGGGAGGCTGGTCGATCAGATCAGAGGGGGATAGCAGAAGCGCAGCTTTTAGCCGGGAAATGGGGATCGGTGTTCGTATAAATTCCATTTTAAGCGGAAGACGTAGCTTCGCGACGTGAGAACTGAGAAGTTGGGCGAGGTTCGAACTGCTTGTGAGAGGGCAATAACATGTTGCACTGCGCGAAGCAGACTCGTGCATTAAGAGGAATCATCGACTAAGGATCAACGAGGCTCGGTTAGTGTTTCTCTCACGTACGTCCGTCGCGAGCCGCGTGAATGCGTCGTGCGGCTATTTTTATCGCTTATGGGCTTTTAAGGAGAAATGTAGCTGAGCAAATGTAACGAAGCGTATAACCGACTGAGAGCGACGTAACTGTTTAATAAGTCTTGAGTCGAGACGAGATCAGAGGTATCGACGGAAATTTCTATTATTACGATCGTAAACGATGCACTGTTACTGCGGACGAGGCAATTGCATGATCTAACTACCGTGCGATCGTCCGAAACGATCTTTCGGATGCGTTCCGACGGAACTTTTCGAATAATTCGTAAAAACCTCCAGAGGGACAAACAAGTCCATAAAGACCTCGCGTCATCCCGCTCTCTCTCTCTCTCTCTCTCTCTCTCTCTCTCTCTCTCTCTCTCTCTCTCTCTCTCTCTCTCTCTCTCGTTCCTCTCACGTCCAGCTTCCTCGTTCGACCAGTCGTTTAGCGGAAATTTTACATTCGCCCGGGGTGCGATTTATCCCAAATCGCGTTTTGCAATTCGCGCGCTTGATACACCTACTTGACCAGCATCGACAACGAGCTGCGAGAGAACAAAGAGAAAAAAATAGCGGCGAATTAAAACGCGTGGATGATAATTTATTCCGCGAAATTGATCCCTTCCTTCTTGACGAGCGGCACCTTTGTACTCCCTCTTGCGCGATCCATTCCGCTCCTGCCCCATTTCCCTTACCAACTCTCCTATTTTTTGCACAGGTTGCGGACACCATAATTCACCGGCGGCGGAGGGACGGCAGCTCGCTGCCTCGCCCGACTGGCAATTAGTCCCGATTAATTTCTCAAAAATGAGGAGGAACGCGCGCGTGCTCTGCGGTAGGTATAGATCTTTTAGGATAGGAACCTCTCGGAGTCGAATAATAGGAGGCTAAAGGCTAACCACACACGAGAGCCCACTGTTTCTCTCTCTCTCTCTCTCTCTCGTCTAACGTTTCTCTTTCATTCTGTCGTCATCGAATGCGTTTACCTGTAGTACATCGCACACATCCGTGTATTACCTCGATAAAACTCTCAGACTTATCGTCCGCATTGCACTCTGTGCCGACTAACATTCATCCCTCCCGCCATGTTCATCATGTTCATCGTCGTTCACCTCACCTCTTTTTCCTTTTATTGCTGATTTTCTCGCGTCTCTCTTCCATCCGTCTACTTTTAATTTTCTTTTAAGCCCTTCTTTTCCCGCTCACCGGATATGAATCTCTTCTTTTCGCTATGTTGTACTTTTACGTATGTACGTTGCACTCTGGCAGACGATTATCTTATCAATATTTTATTCTAGGATTTTTGCAACTATCCCACGCAACTTGTAGCCTGCGTGTACGGGGGACACGCTTAATTTGCACGCGCGTATGGATGTGTATGCGCGCCTCATTGGCACGCCGACACGATGCGTGGTGTAGTGCACTTTAATGCCGCGGCGCGGCCTACTTAGCGGCCGGCTTGATTAACATGGAGTGATTAATAGTCGCTCCCTACGTTCGTAACCAACCCCAACCGCGGCGGCATCGGAGATCTAATCGCACGATATTTATTACCCTGCGCGTCGTCCACCTCGGGGCCCTCGCCACGGCGATTTTGCGAGCGAGCCTCCACCCCGCCTCGCTCTCGTCCCTTTCGATTTCGTTTATTTTGGTTTTTATTTTCGTCTCTCACATCGGCTAACCCGAAGCCGGTCCACGGGCTCTTCGCCTTCCTGAGTTTCGGCCCTTCCCCGCCCCCCCCCCTTTCCAGCATCTCGTCTGAATTCCTCGCGATTCCCGTTTTAGCCCGACGCCCGGTGATGGGGGAGAGGGGGGGGGCCGGAAAGAGAGAAGCCGTTTAAAGCGATATTTGCCAATTGCTAATCGTCTATGGATGCAGAGTGATCTCGATTGCGAGCGAACATTCTCGATTCGTTGTCGCGTCCAAAGATCACACACCTCGCTCGATTTTGCGCAACGTGATAAATGTTATTCGGTAATATTTGACGCATTTTGTAAACACACTCGTACATTCCGGTGCGTCTGGTCCACTCGAACAGAGATAATCTGTCTGTGCTGCCGTCGCCGCGGGGGCAAACTCGCGATGATACGATGGTGGGTTTTGCACGCGAACGCGCGCGCGCGAGACATATCTACCTCGTTTATTCCCCTTTTACATGTTGCGTCAGCGTTACGTTGGCGCCGCATTCGTCTGTCCAATCTGTAGCCGTGTTTACAATCCCGGCTTCGATTCGGCCTGCGCGATTGTTCTGACCAGGAATGACTGTCGGTTGTGAAAGATACGGATACCTTTGCTCCGCGAAGCATCTTTGCTCGATCGCGCAAAGATGATTATCAGGTCGTCGATACTGAGCATCTTCAGGCATCTCTAAAACAGCGTGAGAGGTGAAAATTGAAGATAATTGGAAAAGAGAAACGACTCTCGCGAACATTCGGCACATTAATGCATCTCATGCCGTGTAGCTTTCGAGGCGTTATTATTTAAAAACAGATACTCGTATGCGAATTGCTTCACGATTTTCCGGGTGCGACGTTGAGGGAAAAGCAGCGGATGCCAGATTTCCCGCTGTACAGCCGCTTCGCATGGTGCGCAGAGTCCGCGCGAAGAAAATGTCATATCAATAGAACAGTGTTTCCCAACCGAAAGGTCACGACCTCTCCTCCGGGGGGGGAGGGATGTCGCAAACTGACGTCGCCCCTCGTCGCGCGAGGGTTT